ACCATTATACTGAAAAGTGTACGCTTGGAATATACTTTAACTACACGTATGCATGTACGTAATTTATGTATATGTAGATACATACATATATGTTTCCACCATAATTCATATATTTGTGCATATTCCCACATTCCTTCCAACCGAAAAGCATTTGCTTGCATTACTTACATATACATATGTACATATGTATGTACGCTGTATGCATAACAAAATGCATACCCAAAACAAACGCGAAAAATATCTCCCATACAACGTCGTTGAAAATTTTTCGCGAAAAGTTTATCGCGATAAGCTGTTGTGAGTGATCGCGAATGGATTATTTGCATCGTTTTTCTTATTTATGAGAGGCCGACATCGGCAATGCTCGGACTTCTCATATTCGAGTGAGAGGAAATTTTTTTGCTTTTTTCGATCGCGAATGAAAAGCAGCGAAAATTTTTTTGTCGATCGCATTCCGAATGTGAGAGATGATAAATTTGTTTGCATTTTTCACTCGCGATAAAAGAATGCAAAAATAGACTTGGAATGTTATCGATCGCGATAAATCTCGTAAAAGAATGAAAACGAATAATCATAAATGAGAATTTCCGAACCCTGCTATTTTTATAGTTTGTTAATCAATGGAAAAGCATATTCGTCGCATTTAACAAGAACTTCTGCTGCTGATTTTGGGAATGGCTTTTCGCTTTCCTTATTTGTCCATCGTTCCAACCACACTATATACTCTCCTTCCAAATTGATACCGTCTTTTTCTAAGGAAAGTTCGTATCGTTTTCTAAGCGATTTTACGTCAGGCGTCTTATTTTCACCAATTTTAGATGGAAGTAATAAGTTCAAAACAAAAATGTTTAATGTCTCTTTCGGCAATCTTTCTCGGAGATCGAGCAAAATATTATCCAATAGCGGTATAAATATTGCCTTTCGATAATAATCTTCAGCGTTAGACGCACGATAATTAGCCTGAAAAGTTTGTCTATTCGCTCTCCGAGGAAGGACAATGTCAAAATCCAATTCCTTAGCG